TTGATGAATTATGTATTCTACTATACTATACGTTCGCCATACAAAGCACTTTGTCAATATAGCCACGTTAATTATATGCAGATAAGCACCATTAGCCGCAACAAAAAGCGGGTGTTTAAAAATAGTGACGTGTAAAGAAGACATATACACATTACGTAAGCAAACGTCTTACACCCCCTCCCCTCCCTCCTCCCTCATCAAGCAAATCACCCTATACGCGAACTTTACCTTGACGCTGCTCTTCCGCGTTGGGGGCCATGATGGTTGTGTTATCGGCGATCAAGGGTGTCTCCGTGTTAGATGTTTGCCTCACGGCGAGATCGCTTTTTTTCTCCTGCAGGAGGCCGGCTTGCAGGGCCAGTTTTCTGACCGCGAGACAGTAACCCAGTAACGGAGTCGCCAGCAGGTCAAAGCATGCGGCGACCCAGGGCATAACCGAGAGATCCGACGGAAAACAACCGGTCTTCCGGGGTATTCGGCTCTCCCTCACTCTTCCTGTCCCTTCCGTTGGTGACGAAATTATGGTCGATTAGAGAATAACACCGGAGCAAAAGGAAGCCCGATGCGTGTGTATGTGTGTGTGCGGAGCTAACTGCTCCAACGGAAAAAAAAAATAAAATAAAATAAAACCGCCAACGAGAGCCGCTTCTACTCTATCGCGCGAATACTCTACTCGCGAATTTATACTCGCTCCCGCGGCTAAAACTCCGCTTCTCGCGACTTCTCTACTTCCTGGTCAAGCTCCCCGGCTAAAGCTCTTCCGAGAAGTGATCGCTGCTCGTGTGCCGTATTATAGACAGCAGATCCTCCCTCATTCCAATTTGCTTGATCCTCACTTCCGGAGCCAGTTTGCGGGCTTCCTTGGGATCGGTCAGAGAAGAGGTCAGATCTCTTGCTCGAGGCGTGCCGCGCGATTCCCTTTCGCCCGTGCGCGTTTCACTCGCTGTTATTGACGATAATGTTGTTGCCGTTGCTGCTAACGCCGTTGCTCGCTGGCGACTGTGTGCGCGCGCGCGCGCGAACGTATGTACACCCGCTGAAAATTTACATAGTAATAGCGACACCGGTCGCGCGGCTCCGATATTTCACCGACCGCTTTTTTCTGCTCCGAGATTCTAGGCGGCTTTTGAGGTCGAGGTCACTCGCCGTGATCACTCGTACACTCCTCTTCTATCGATGCGATTTCTCTTCCTGCTCCGTTTTCCGACGAGAGAGACTCCGATCGACGTGCTGTCGACGTAGAGGCGTTCAACCCAGCCAGGTGACTATAGAGACCTCGACTAAACGCTTCCCGAGATTTCTCGTAGACTCGTCAGCCGACTCTTCAGCTTCTTCTCTTTCCCTCAGAGAACACACGGCTCTATCACGGGGATGATGCAAGTATGCCCGTCCAGACGAGAATAGACTCCGTTCTCTCTGCAGCAGAGACGCGACCGGTCGATACGTACTTCTCGGCTCTCCGACGACTAGTAGGTCCGGCTCCACCGCGGCTTTAAGCAACATCGACCAGAACCCACGAGCGAGCAACTCCGTTGTACGAACCAATGGAGAAACGGTTAGCCCCTCTACGGATATCGGACAAACTTGCGCGCGATGGATGAAACGATGAATGTCCGTTTTTCCTTGAACCGACGCGGATAATCCACCGCAAAAAAAAATCGCGAACAATGAAAATTCACTAACGTGAACTTTCCGCAAGATCAGAAAAAATGAAAAAAAAAAATCTTATCTTCTCTCTGTGAGGCAAGTTCAATTTATCGCTGTGTATCACTCCTACAAAATTTACTCTTACTGATAACCCATTATTTTGCATAATATATGAACTTTCAATTGGCGGAAATGACTTTCGAAGATTTAAGTAGTATTTTATTAATTTAATTCTTGTCCATCGCTACCACCGTAAACTTGACACAGCCTATGCGCTATTGACGATGTTCCAATACATATTTCATTAGCATCGTAAATTCCATACGTTACGCCTGATGAAACCGGCTTGCATTTTTCTTGGCGGATCATGCGTCCAAAGTCCACAGTTGTTTTTCCTATTTTCACGTAATCGTTTGGCAAACGACCATCCAGGCGCGTGTATTCGGCGTCATTGAGTTAAATGAAGAGATGCCGGATCACTAATGTCCTGACCTGCCGGGTTACATCACGTATACGCCAATATATGGAGCAACTTGTTCGTATAGACAAAACGTGAACTTTGGAACCTCTTTTGGTGACGCGTCGAAATAACGTTAACTGAAGAAAAATGGCTCTTACCAAGAAGATCCTTTACGTACGCACTGTGAATTAATATTAGAACACTGAAATATATAAATGATATACCCGTGCACGTGTAAAAATACATCGATTTTGTGAATATTCTCGAAAAATTAATTAATTGGAAAAATTATATAAAATATAGAACAATCTTCTGTTATAAGTATTATTTGCGAAATAGCTATAAATAAATGTGCCGCAGATGTTAAGATGTATGAAAAAATTTAATTAAAAGGTATAATAATTTAAGAACAAAGTAAAAATCGTATTTTTGTATTTGTTTGATTAATGATTAATAAAAACTACTAAGCACTATAATATTGTAAATTCATATTTAAATTCATATTTAAATTTTATATTTTTATTATATTATTATGTATATTGTGTTTTTTGAAACATACGTTCTTTCCATAAAATTTTCTAGAAACTGAAAGTCTCGCATATTTTTCGTAACTTCTTGTAGAAGTTTCTAGAAATTTAACTAACTAAAATAAAAGAATATCTATATACCTTGTTTACTATAAGATGCTCGTAACTAATGACGCCTGAGGCACCAGATTTTTCTCATTACACCTACGTAAGTAAACGTCATGCTTAGTTTATTAGATGATAAGGGGAAAGTACAAACGTGTATCTGCACGTGATAAGTGCTTCTCAGTTACGTGATAGAGGTCATACATGATATAGTGAACTTCACAAAAACGAATTTATAAAACTGCAAAGTGTCAACTTGTTTCGAAATGATATATTGAAAGCAGATTATTCATTGACATATCGCAGATATTCATAAAATTTGATTTTTTATGTATCGATGCAATTAATTTAATTAAAGAAAAATGGTCCCAAAAAGTCATTACATTTTATTTTTACAAAAAAAATAATATGATAAAAATACATTTAATGTCGAAATGATATATTGAAAGCAGATTATTCATTGACATATCGCAGATATTCATAAAATTTGATTTTTTATGTATCAAAGCAATTAATTTAATTAAAGAAAAATGGTCCCAAAAAGTCATTACATTTTATTTTTACAAAAAAAAATAATATGATAAAAATACATTTAATGTATATAATCTAAATATTGGATGAAATAAAATTCTAAACGTAGTGACGTCATAGTCTCAATTTTATTCCTACATACACACATTCTTGTCAACCTTCACAAGAGTTTATTGATATAATGTGCGTTATTAGTTAATAGTCAATTTGAATTGTTAACGATGTCATATCATCGGACTAACTGGAGGGAGCGCCAGTTAGCAGGACTGTAGACCGATATGTCGTTCCCCTGGGCAGATTCTTGAATTGTGTACTTGAAGAAATATAAACTTGATACTAACAATTACATATATGGTTAAAGAAACTTGGAATCATTATGAATCATTGGTTTAATCCGCGAGTCGCGAGAGTTAGATACGTTATTAAAACAAAGAAACTTGATATATATTTCTGACATATCTATATTTCACAATAAATAGTTGGAATGGAAATTCCTCTGTATAATTCTCTTTAAGATGAATCAGATACTAACACAATATATAAACCGGGAAAATCCTCTGCTTTACGATGATTTATACATTTGTGAGAATTAATAAGATTAATCAACTATTAATTATCTTTCAAAAAATTCTAAGCCAACAGAATTTTTAAAAGATAATGAGATATATATATATATAAAATATTATAAAAATATATAGATAAAAGATATATAGATGAATCATAGATGAAGAAATATATTATAAAAATATACTTCTTTATCTATGGTTTCTTTGATTAATTTTCATTATGTTGTATATTTTGAACACAAATTGGGTGTATAACAGTCAATTGAAAATAGGAGGATATATTTGCAGAATTATCATCAAATTAATCAAGAAATAATTAATTAAACGTTTAGTTTCTTCCCAAGAAATATTTATACACTTGAAGAAGGGGGGGAATTGTTCCTCTTAGCTTTGGCCTAGCTTCAAACAAAACAATCAAGGCCTATCATTGGCGAGTTCTATTTTAAAATGATTGTCACCGCGAATATTTTTATGTATATACAGACCTGCGGTCACTAACGTCCATTAACCGCAATAGACCGACACGTCTCTAGAATAAAGGATAAAATGAGATGGCAGAAATTGTTCGGCCATTGTTCTCAAAAGAATATTCATGAAACGAGTAGGTATATAAATTAAAATAATAGCACTGCTACAGGAAAATGTATAGTTATAAACTTTTATTAACACAGTTGATATATATAATTTTAAAATAATCATTTTTATATTTAAACTTTCTGTTTATATTTTTTTACTTAAAAAAATTGAGTAAAAATGTAATATTCACTCTGAATCAAAGAAATCGGAAATGATCAGAAATTTATATTATTTAACATATAGCGACACAAGAGGATATTTCATGATATTATCAAGTGCATCGTATTATGTACTTGAAAAAATGCATCTTTTGGATATTTCTATCCTTAACAAAAATTCTTAAGAGATATAATCAATTAAAAAAAAAATTCTCTTTTCGCACATAATACATTATAGCATTATTTTCACGATTCTTGCTGGATATAACATTTGATGTGAGATGTTTTCACATACAGTGAAATTTATAATATAAAAATAATACAATATAAATGTAATAACAGTAATATTTATTATGTAATGTACAATTATGGTATTATTAAAAATGGGAGACACTGATTAATGTAACTGTACATCACAATAAATATGTATATACATAAATTCGTTATTACATTGTTCAGAAAATACCAATTGAATGTGCGAGGCCCGCGTAAATATGCAATGTTGTTGCACCGATGAAAAAGGTAGTGATCGCTTTAATAATAAGTGTTGACCATGGGCCAGCTAATAAAAGTGACGAAAGGAAGTCCAGCATGAGCGGCCTATATACCGTAAGTACAAGCATACCAATTACTATAGGAACTAAACCACGTCGTAAATCGTGTCTGGACCACAACCAAACCAATGTTGCGGTTGTTATGTGCTGCACCTGTAAAGAACAAGTCATATATATGTAGATTTTCTTGAATTTGTGTCAAGTTTCACATCAGAAAATATAGACAGCAATTTTTTACCAAATTGATATTCGACTCGAGACTCTTCTGAATGTACTTCCAATCAAACTCAGCGCCACGTGCTCCAACCCAGAGCAACAAGAATCTCGTAAGCAGCACTTCAGCTCCCGCCCATCCTATGCCAGCAGTTAATACCTTCGCATGGCCTTTGCCAGGTATACTATTTAGTACCAGTAAAATTCCTACCAAGTCTGCTAGATCAATGGACGACTTTAAAAATTCCTGAAATATATTTATATATATATATATAAAAAGATGTAAATCTTTATGAAAGGCCAGATATAAATTATGGATAATATCCACTTTCAGACAATTTAAAGTAGATGTGATAAGTGATAGGATATTAATGCTCGCTTGATTGCGAAGGGAAAAGATTCGATAACATATACTGCGAAGATAATTTCTTAAAACATATTTTTTTTTTATATGTATAAAAGGAAGTAAATCTTTATGAAAGGGCCAGATATAAATTAGGGATATTATCCACTTTCAGACAATTTAAAGTAGATGTGATAGGTGATAGGATTTTAATGCTCGCTTGATTGCGAAGGGAAAAGATTCGATAACATGTACTACGAAGATAACTTCCTAAAACAAATTTTTTTATATATATAAAAAGAAGTAAATCTTTATGAAAGGGCCAGATATAAATTAGGGATATTATCCACTTTCAGACAATTTAAAGTAGATGTGATAGGTGATAGGATTTTAATGCTCGCTTGATTGCAAAGGGAAAAGATTCGATAACATGTACTGCGAAGATAACTTCCTGAACCATATTCCTTTTATATATATAAAAGAAAGTAAATCTTTATGAAAGGGCCAGGTATAAATTATGGATATTATCCAGTTAAATATAATCCATATATAATCCAATTAAATTATGGATCCACTTTCAGACAATTTAAAGATGTAAAGATTGTAGATGTGACAGGTGATAGGATTTTAATGCTCGCTAGATTGCGAAGGGAAAAGATTCGATAACACGTACTCCAAAGATATCAAAACCCTCCTCTCCCATATTGTCGGCGGTTGGAAAAAATGTTGCAAGCGCCAGCATTTTTACGAGCTGCGTGAATATATAAATACCGCCGGCTTGAATGCATTTCCAGAAGGCACCGTACTCCGACCTGGAAATATCTCCCTTCGCTGTATGTCCCTTTAAATCTTAGGTTAGGAACCGAGAGCGTGTACTAGAATCGATACTTACAAGCCAGAATATTTGTAAGTCAAATAGTACGGCACGTATACCAATGCCAGGCAATTTCCGAAGTGATATAGCGTCATTTTTCGGGGAATGTTCAGTCAATTTGTAATATTAATAAAGGAATGAACAAGTCATAACGAAATTACGAGCATCGTGATACACACTACCACTATACGGCTAGTCTTTTAATTCTGTGGAGCTGCACTTGACTTTCTGCACTTGTAGTGAAACAGAAATACAAGAAGACATCAGAAAGAAAAGGAAAAAAAGATGCGCACATATAAAAAGTTCCGTAACAGAGGACAAATCTGGTGTCGCTAACTGCGGCAAACTCACGAAACTCGATCACATTTCTCGACCAGTACTCAGTGGATAAAGGGTGGATCAGGTGGATCTGTCTGAAACTCTAACCTAATCCAACCACGCTGTGAAAATAGTTCAATAAAAATCTCGTTGTTAGTTAATCTATATAAAAAAAAATATTGACAAGAAAAAATATAAATCATGTTTTTTTTTTAAGATTAAATCTGAAATATTATTTTGTCATTTTTATTGAATATTTCTTAATGGAAAAAGAAAATGATCGAATCTTAGGTTATACAGAAAGTCGTATAGAAAATATATTTTTTTATTGATTTTGCGATTATCCATTATATTAAATATCGCGTATTGTCTTATGACAAATATATGTGTCAAGATAAACTATAATTTTTATAATCGAGGAGATTGTGTTTTAATAATTCGGAAATTTTTTAATACCAAAGTGTCAAAAATTCGTAAGTATAAAAAAAAAGACAATAAAAGTAGCGTACTTTCTAACTGCCATCATTCAATTTACCATTTGGTCCTTCGATAAAAGATCTTTTTTTTGATGCCATATTACACAGTCCCCCTCTTTTATATTTTAACCCCTTTGAAAGGGGTACAGCCACCCCTTTCCCCATAAAAAGGGGTAGCTGCTAAAAAAAGGGTGCTGCAGCAGCAGAAGTATTGACTATGCTGCTGCAGCAATTTGTGACTTGTGTGCATTGAAATTTTCATGTTTTCTATTGAAATAAGTGTTACAAACATAGTATACAGATGCATTTCTATAAGTTAAGCTGAGGTACATCAATAATACAAGCGAGTTAGATACTGTTAAGGCATATATCAACCTTTGCTGCATAAATATTAAATTGGTCAATATTTTTTCTCCTGTTTTCAGTCAAAATTGATAGGATACGATACATGGGACTTCGACTGCTCCGTCAGAGCATGCTCGGTATCCGAGAGACTACTGCTCGCTGTCCCTCTCCAACGTTTCTTACGAAGGATAAACTCCTGGGGGTTGGCTGGGAGCTGCCTGTGATTGGGCAGGATCGTATTGGATCTACCCCGCGGACTACTCTGCATGGAAAGGGTAGCTCAGTTCGCCACAGGCTGTTGTCAAATCTACCTCGCAGTGTGCCTGACGTTAAACAGTTATCAGGATACCAGGATTATGTGAACCAGTGGTAGCTTTGCAAGTGTGTAATTATTTCAAGTGTATGTGCTTATTAAAAACTTACAAATTGCTCTTCTGAAGAAACAATATTTACTTCTATTTTATTTTATTTTTTTTGTATACTTATATACATGTATTATATGCTTATGTTCATATCTTTAAGTTACTTTTAGTTTTCTGAAAACAGACAAAAGTTTTCTGCAATATATATACATTTCAATATGATTAATCTTTAACTACAAAAATAAATAAGAATACGTATATGCTTTGTATTTTTCAGTAAACACTTGTTTTAAATTCTCTGATACATCATTCTCTGATTTTGAAATATTTTTGAGTATATTTTGACAGATATTAAACTCATTTATTAAATTCATTTATTAAATTCATATCATCAAATTAAACCTTTTAAAATTAAATTATTAAAACTACGCTTACTATCTATTAAAATAATGTTGAAATAGCACAATGAAACACAGAAATATTGGTGAGAAAAAAATTTCTATCCCTCCGTCTTTTCAACCCTTCACCCTTTTTTATCCTTTGAATGAAAAAAAAAATACCCACCCTTTTCATCTGATCAATCCCCCTCTCTTCCAAAAAATATGTGCTAGAGTTGTATACTGTTTATGAAAAGAAACGTTGTTAAATAGATTGATAAAAGAATTAAACATAAAACAGTATTTTTATCTTAGAAAATGAATAATGAATTATTCATAAAGATTATTGAAGAAATAGATACAATAATTTCATAATATCCACATAACTTATATGTAATGCAATAGAATATTTTTACTTTTTTTATTATATGACTATTTTTATAATAAATTTGAATTAAAGAGATATAATACCTATAATATTCTAAATTTACATCTCTTTATCTTTTTTGGGAGTGAGAAATGGGTGGAGCTTACATTCCCTACTGCTTTTCATACAAGCTTCAGGAAAAAGGGTAGTCAGTTTTATGGTGGAGTTCAAGTGCGAAAGGACGTGTAGTGTGACTGGTTTTTTAATTATTTTTGAGTAAATGTTTTTCGATATTTGTAACATTTTTGTGCATTCGCGATATGAATATGTATATGATTTTTATTATTCTGTTTCAATTGATTTCACAATATAAATTATATAAATTCTAAATTTTCGGAATATATATATTTTTATTATTTATTTGTATATTATTCTGTGAAGTGTATATGTATTTACAATTGGAAAGTAAGTCAGTTATTTCTTAAACTTTTCTATATGATGTTTGCACATTTATCACTTTCATCTTATTCAATAAATTATAAAAATTGTTTCATTATAAATTGTTTTTTTAAGTTTTGCTGCTAAATATTATAATTTTTTAAATAAGAATAAATATGACTTTTATTTATTTTATTTCTGTGTAACTTTTTGAAAAATAATCGATTTATACTTTTAGAGATACGTGTTTCAAATTATATTCGAACGATGGCGCTACAATTGATTTTCTGCACACGTATTTCAGCGTTTCACGTTTATTTTAGCAGGCATAATTATAATACCTTACAATAGATGACGTAGCTAGTGACTTTATGAAAATGTTTTTCGATATAATTGCATATTCTTAGCAAATAAATAATTCAATCTGTAATAATTAGACTAAAGATATTTAACAGATAGATTACAGATTTAGATAACTGATTTGAAAATACTTGTAATATTTTAACAAATTTAAAATAATTGACATTTTACAGTATTTTATTTTAGCTTTTGCGATTTTGTATGCTTGATTTTTTAATACTTTTTGTGAATCAAAAACAAAAATTTAAGAACTTTAATCTTATACTCTTCGCATATTTTTGACAATTTTTTCAAAAATAAACGTATACAATATAAATTATTATTTATAACATTGTTATACGCTTGTTATTCATATCACATTTAATTTCTCTTTTTCTCTACCTCTCTATTATTGTAAAAAACAGCAATACAGTACTAAATTGAAATGTAAATAATTCTAAATCTTATCTTAATATTTTAAAGTTCATTCTTTCCGATCAAAGAAGTTATCTTTTCCCCACATTTCATCAATCGTGCGCAAACGGTTCGTTTATTTGAACTTGAAGCTTCCTTCTCTTGGATTTACTTTGGATTTTAGATACGAAGGTCTCGAGCATGAGAGTGACGACACGTGGTCTCTCTCAACCCCGAACTCTGCACTTTTATCATCTCCCTTCTTCTTTGATGGGTCCACGCACTCGGCATATAGGCGTGTTTGCATTTTCTTCCCTCGGGACGCTTACGGGACGGCGCGCAATTTCGGAAAGCCGATTTCAATTCCGCTCTCCTTTTTACAGGGAGAAGCGAAAGCTCGAACGCGGGCGGCACAGGATTACGGGAATCGCACAGACAGGCCTGTGAACACGTGCGAAAATCTCGTGTCTCGACGTTTGCGCTCACGTCATCGATCGTTCGTCCGTTTAGCGTTTCTCGCGTCGGGTAAATCCGATTCTCCGGTCCTCCCCTCATTCCTCCGGGTAAGTAACACGACTTACAAGAGAAGTGTATGTTAGGATATACATCCGATTTGCGGTAAACTTTTTGGTAAATAGAAATTTGTCAGAAATTTAAATAAATTTAAGAACATTCCTTTATTTTATCTGTCTAAAATTATATTATTCTATTACCAAAGTGTCGAATTTAATTTAGCATGCAAGCATATGTGTGTATATGTATTTTTGTATAAAATTGATTCTTTATACATTTTTAAAACAGAAATTTTAGATATTTTCTTCTTTATTTTTATTACGTATAATTAAACGATAAGTAGAATTATTAGAAAAACGTCATGTAAGCTGTATTGTTCATGCATTTACGCTTCTTCCATTGACGTTAGAGTATAACGATGAGCTTCATTTCCGGTTCCGGCCTTCATCATTTTCGCACCGTCAACTCCATTCTTCCGTATTCCGCCTCCGTATATTAGCACCATTGCCTCCCTCGCACATCGGGAATTTTTGTTCTTTTATGTCGATTCTCAATCCTTTAAAGATCATACGACTTTTCGGCATGAAAAAAATTAATCCCTTTCTATCTAAATATCGTTTTATTCACGTATCGACTTTTGAAAAAAAATTCGAGATTCATTAAAATTAATATAGTATGATGAAGAAAGATAATCCATGGTGGAAAAATTAATAGAATTTTCATAGTAAAGAGAAATGTGGAAAATGAAAAGAAAAATCCATCTCTCTCTATTTTCTTCTTTTCCGTTCCACGGATGTTGGCATATTTCTTATTTCTGTCAGCGCCGGGATATGGAAAAGCCCATAGAATGCTTTCTATTCCTCGTGTGTAACGCATAAGTACATTTTTATACAACGTAGAAATTGATATATTTTTCCCACTCAGCAGAAGCAGTATAGGAAGGAATAATGTCCTTTCTTCAGGGCTTCAGGCAAAGTTGTTAATATTCCACTGGTGCCTACGTCCTTCTGGGACAGTCTCTGCCATCTCATCCATGTTACTCTTTTTTTTTATCTTAGTTCTATAATACCGGAAGAGTATCAGTACAAGAAAAATCCTCGATTGCGATGTTGGGAGTCTAATAAGACGTAGGTTGAATCGGATCGAAATCTTTAAGTGAGTTTCTTTGGAAACTTTCAAGTAACGCGGAAGTCCAAAAGATATTCAAAAAATATATAATGGGTGTCTGCAAAGTTAGAATATCAAATATTTCTTTTTGTGTTGTTCGATTTTTAGTCCTCATACGGGAGAAAATTGCATTCATTACGAACAAACGCGACTTACAATTAGAGATAAAATCTAGATTTGCAAAAATATATAAGATGTATAGCTGTGTATATATAGCTATGTAAATTTAAAATTGTATATATAGATTTTGTACTATGTATTACACGGATATTATTATATTTAAGGTTTAATTACATTTATAATTTCATCACAATACGATGTCATCGAAGTACAATATGACGTTACAATTATAATCATTGAATACTTTATTTTAAGCAGATATTAAATACAGTAACCGTATCGGAATTGTACGAAAGATTCGTCGCGGTATCTGTTTTGATAATAATGATGGCGGGGGATAAAGAAAGAAGGATTTTAACTGTAAAGATGCTTAATGAAGTAGATCCCGGAGCTCGACGTAATTTCCAACCGAACTCTTTGATTGGCCATTAAGCCGCGATTTGCATATTTAAAGCGGGAAAGAAAAAAACGTCGGGCGGTGGGTGAAAAAAGTTTTTAACGAGCATCTCTTTATTATTTAATGTCTGAGACGGTGTTGCGCGGAAGTGACTCTAATTAAAGAGATATAATTGGCGGATGTACAAAGGCGAATAAGGCTCTCCGTTCCGACGAGCCGCGCTGTCGTCGATATTCCTGCGCGGCGCCGCGCTTCCAATTAATCACTCTTTCGCGCGGCATTAATACTATCCCCGTGTTTTAAGAGAAGGAACGGTTGTATCATCCGCGAGAAACGTTTTATTAGACGGGTTGTTTGGCTTTGTGTGGCTTTGTAAAAATAGAAACTCCACAGACAACCAAAATAATGAGCAAAGCTCGCGCGGACAAGAAAACTCCTATAATGAAATAACAAAATTACTATACGAAAATTACAAAATTAAAAAGTATTAATAAAATAAATATACTAAATATAAAAGTTTTCGGGCTATTCGTGCTATAGAGCGTAATCTGCAGCAAAATTATTAATATCTTTTACATACAAAATTCTCATGTAAACTGGCAATGTATAGTTGAATTTTTAATAGCAACTTTTTCTTCAAATCTCGAAATTTGACCAATGATAAACATACTCCTAATGTTTAAGTATAATAAATAAGTTCTCTTTTCGTCTATTGTGAGATGGTATTCAGGCATGACATTTTAATTTTCCAAAATCAGTCGGCGATATAATATGCATAAAGTGTAAGGACGAAGCTGCAGTCTGCATTTCTTCTGTTGCACAGTACGGATGCGGTCGTCGAAATATTGCCCGGGCCATTAAACATTACTGAAGAATGCTTTTAGCATTCCAGATATCTCTAGCTTGTTTGAGTTTTGGAGGTTATCGGCGCGATCCGAGGCTTAAGAACTGTCCTTAAATGTGCCGTAAACGCGGGCCCGCATGAAATAGAAGAAAAGAGGCGACCGCGAGAGAGCAAGTCGTGTCTCTAACTTTGTAAAGATGCCTCGCGCTTTACCAGCCCGACCGGAGTCCAATAAAAACTTTACAGCCCCCATAATGAATGCAAGAAATAATTATCTCATGAATACATTAGTTTTAGTATCTCCC